AAAAAAACGAAGTCCAGATGACATGATTCAACCTTTTTTGTTATTATATACCTGGATGACTGAGAAAACAAACTTTACAGCATAAAGAGGTAATTCAACCATTGAATCAGATGTGCTGGAGCAGGGAAACTGGTAAAACATGCAGGGTAGAGGCCCTTAAGGATCAGGATTGACATCTCTTTACCGCTTTGCACTGTTGTCAAATTTGCATTACAGTTTTTCCTGCAAAAATATTAACATACTTTTTTTTTTTTTTTTACAAAAAGTGCCTCAGTCTGCACATAAAGTGCTAGCTGCTACTGCTGCTGCTTGCACAGGCAAATAACAAAAAAACTAACAAGATTGAGTCAGGTCCTCTGGACGGATTCTTCTTCGTTGAAATGTTTTGTTTTTTTTATCCAAAAGACTTCTTCAGTCTGAGGAGCTGCAAGAAACTCAGTCTTATAAATAGCAACTTCTCATAGTGGATCAACCAGTTTTGTGGTAACATCCAGAAATAGCTGCTCACATGGAAAAGAACCATCAGCCTAACAATTGATTGTTAGTGCCCTGATGGCCACTTGCTACTAACAGAGGGTTCAGTGATACTAGCTATAACAGAACTGTAAGAGGAGGACAGTTGGATATCGAGGCCTTCGCCCCTGATTAACGATGGACAGGTTCTCTTCACAAAGATGGCCTCCTTTACTCCTCTCTCAAACTATTGTTCCTCTCTATACAGGATGTGAACATCTTCATCCCCGAAAGAGTGACCGCTGGCCAGTAGATGAGTGTAGACCGCAGAGTCCTGGCCTGATGGTGTTGCTCTTCAGTCCTGGTCCATCCTTTTGACCAGTGTCTGTCTAGTTTCCCAGATGTAAGACACTGCCTCCTGGCACTAAACAGCATACATAAAATTACTCTGTTTGTGCTGGGGGACTGGATCTTTGGGATTGTTATAAATATACCATAATATATAAAATATATATAATATATCATATTTCCTAACACATCATAACCACATAAGATCCACTGAGATCACACTTAGTCACGCCCCCTCATGCACTGACAAGTTGAGCTCTCCTTCTGCGAAGGTGGAGTCTTAGGACCCTATAAATGAGTAATGACACAGGACATCGGGGCTCTTCTTCTGGGTCTGTGAACGCGTCATAGACTGGAGAGTCCAGCGCTGTAAATTGTAATATTTTCCTGCCTTTTTTAATATAATTGATAAAACTTAATTGAAGTTTCCTTGATTTATTGATTAGTATGAGTTGCCACTTCTGAGGGAGGTTCGAGCCAGGGGGAAAGACGTGGGCTGGAGGGGGTTTCTGGGTCCGGTGGTCCGCAGCCAGCTCCCGTCTTTAACAGGATGGACCAGTCTTTGCCGTAATGTATTTTAGGGTTTGAAAACCACTGGGACGTTATGTTTTGAAAAAAAAAGTCTCAGTTTCTCTGAAACTCCCGCAACATATGGAATGGCCACTGGTCTGTTTTCACCTGATGGCTGGCTGGAGTCCTGTTTGGGTTTCTTCTCGAAGGCCCAGTTAAGATATCCACATTGCTCCAGGGCTTATCTTGTAAGGGATTTCTCCTTCTGCCTGGCTCCTGAGTTAGTGGGGATGCTGTCTGCTCTGTGGTACAGAGTCCAAACTGCTTTCAGATATTAAAGATAAATTTAGATAAACGAATGGGTGTGACAGCTGGAAGTCTATTATAACAGAGGACACATAAAAATAAAAAAAACAGATTTAAACTGACTGAGCTTTAAAATTAAAAATGTGGGAAATGTTGAGAAGGTAAATTTTGATTCTTTAATTTCAGGTCTCCCTTGTAAATGAGTCCCCGAGGCTCAATAGGATTAACATGTATAAATAAAGGTTGAATGAATTAATAGGCCCAGCCTCCTTCAGACACATACCAGTACCAATATTTAAAACAGGAAGTAACTTTTTCCTCTCTTGTTGCCTTGAAATGCAGGACATCTGAACATAAATGAGTGTTAAAAAGTTTGATCTTGATCTTACATTCTGCAGGTTGAACTGGAGCTGCTGCTTGTAGGGTTCAAACTCACTGGCCTGCTCGTAGCCTTCATGGTAGAAGGTGAACAATCCCTGCAGGAAGGCTAATAACTGAGGAGAGGAGGGAGAAAGGGTCAGCTTGAGGAGAAAATAATGAGATTATAAAAGAACTGGATCAACAATCAAAACAGCCTCTACAGGAGACACCCCCACCTCCACACACACATACACACACACACCCCACCCGGAGTTTTGCCTGTTTGCAGCCTTTGTTTACTTTACAACAAAGACTTTTCCTCTCAGCTGGAAGAAATCTGTCCACAGGAAGTGCTGCCACAGCCACAGGAAGTAGCTGTTACAGATATCTGTCCTGAAACAGTGTGCCATGAGTGTTTTTCAGATGACGGCTCATTTGTTTTTGCTACAGGCATGTTTACATGTACACACTTGTTCATGCTTGGCAGCAGCAGCTAATTTGATGTTTGTGTCAGTGTGTAAAAGCAGAAAGAAAAAGTCTTGATGAAACGTGAATCAGTGATTGTGTTTGACATTTCACACTCAAGAAACAGTTTATGAACTCACTGGCTCCACGAACTCAAACTTCTTTCTCTCTTGCACCTCTTGGATCTTGAAGACGTATTGAAGGGAGGCATCATAAAAAATCTGTCTGTCTTTATTCATCTGTGAGTCAGCCTGCAGGAAATGACACCCCAACACACACACTCCTGTTACTTAAATGGTGTGGGAGGAACTTGTTGTGTCTTTGTGAGTCTTGAGAGAGTTTACCTCGAGCAGCTGGGATTCCTTCTTTCTGGAGGACACGCCGAGGTATTTCTCCTGCAGAGAGTAATATCGTTCTGTCTCCTTATCAAACTGCTTCTTTCCCTCCTGACGAAAACAGCAAAGCAGAGAGGGACATAAGGAACAAAGAGCTTTCAACACAAAGCCGTCTACAAGACAGAAAGAGCATCTGGAAGACGAATGATGCTTTGTGCAGAACACCTGCAACCAAAACCACTTTAAAATGAAGTGAAATAAGGATGTGTGTTGAAATCCAGACAAAGTGTAGTTTATGTCTCTTATATTCATCAAAGACTTTAAAGGACTTTGTGAACTGGTCACTATGACAAAAGATGATGCCCTAAAATAGGATGTTGCTGCAATAAAGCCACAAATCCTAAAATGCTTATGTTTGTGTTGAAACAAGCAGCACGGAAATATCTAGATGGTCATTACAGTTTGAAGGGGGTAGCCTAAAAAAAAATCAGCTATGAATAAATGTTTTCTCTTCTGATCATCTGAGAGGTGAGACGGGATGCTTTTCTGAAAGTCAGCATCTTGTTTCAGGTGTTCTCAATGAAAAGAGACAGATTACAGCTGTTTCAGAGTGTGGGCCCTTAAAGTCTGAGAACTTTCTAAGAAATGTGCTGGTGTCAGAAAGTATCAGGCTTGTCAAGCAACCATTCATGTGACAAATTTAAATATTTTACATCTGGTAATGAGGAACATGGAGAACTGTGTGTGTGTGTGTTTGTCTGTCCCACATACAACACCCCTAACCTTCAAACTTGAAGTCTATTTTAACTTTTTATGCCAAATTTCTTCAAGAAGTTCCTGAATTATTGTAATTATTAGTGTAATGTAAAGATAAAGAGCCTCTGAAAACTTCATGCATCTAGCCAAAGGCAAAAAGAATAATCAGGGCTTTGTGGCCTAAATGTCTCTATAAATCAGATAAAATGTGACAGAGTTATTCTTTAATTCAACAAAGGTTTTCTGAAAATGAAAATAATATTAAGGGGACCATATTCTAACATCCACAGCTTCAATCAAATGACGTTCAGAAGGTTTTAGTTTGAGTTCAACCTTGTAAAGTTTGATAAGTAAATGAATCAAGGCAACATGATGATGATTCTCCAGCCATCCTTACAATGACGCTGAGCAAATCTATCTAATCAATGATGAAGTGAACTGCTGCAAAGTTTGGCTTTTCAGATAAAGTAAAGCTCCTGTTTTAAGAGATCATCCGACAACGTGCATGAGAGCTGTTCATAATCTGCAGACTTTCTCAAAGTATGGAGGAAAACAGATGTGTTCCAAACCAGCTGCAGCATCCAACTCCAAAGGTTCACATCAACATCATCATCCTGGAGATGAGCTGCAGCTCACACACACATGCTCTGAAAAGTTGCTTCTATTGATGAACAGAAATGAGCTCAAACCAAATTCAAAGTTAGACCTGTTTGTTTTTAACAACCATCCCAGACAAACCTATTATTACTCATTCTTTGTAAAGATTGAGCTGAATGGGGTGATTTGACTTGGACAGCTGCTGAAACCAGACACCACAGTCTTGGTGTTTCTGCTGCGTCTCTGAGTTCGACTGTCTGCTTCTGACGACTTCCCTCCCTGCCTCCGTCCGTTCCCACGACCTCCATACAGACTCTGGACTGTGACCCATTCTTTAACCGAACTAATTGGGCTTTCTGGTTGCTCACCACAATCCTGAGTGGGAGCAGAATTGAGTAGCACCAGTGGTACTGGTTAATCCCAACGTGCACGATCATGTTCTCTGTCCCACCAAACTACAGGCATACCTTAACGGCTCCAATTTGTTCCTTACGAAACCTCTCGAGCGGTGAGATCAAAACGTCATCAGCATTCTGGATCTGAGGGGGGACAAAGAGGCCCAGCAGTGAGTTCACTTTAAAGTTACTACATTACGGTAAATACCAAAACCAGCATCAAAAGTGACATGAAAGCTCCTGTCCCATGAGAGCTATAGCTGAAATGTCAGGGTCAAAGGTCAAAAGAAAATGAATATGTTGTGGTCAGTAGATGTGTCACGTTTTTCTAATAGAAAAAAATATTTAAAAAACCTCTTAAATAAAAAATGTTAAAGCGGTCAGTGTTATCAACTACAGGAAAACTTTATTCAGTTAAAGGTTTAGAGGAAAACCTAATCAGAACAGAGTTACAGCAGACACTTGAGAAAAATGTGAGGTTTAAACTGACAAAAGCAGACACGTGATCATGATGTGATCTGTGGTAGTAGCTGAGAGTCATCTCCAACACATCCTCTGAAAAGAGCCGAGTTTCATAGATGTGCAATCTATTGGTGCTTAGATTTCTTGAAGGAAACAGCTCTCGGCTACTACCACACCAAACTTTAGCTCAATGTCTGTAAAATAAGCTGGCTTATAGCTAATTCAGTCTGCTAAATTTGATTTGCTGTGGCCGCCATCTTGAATATAGTTGGCTTAAAAAAAAAATCAGTTGTAGATGTATATCCAGTGATTAGTCAAGTTTCATCCACTGTTCACCAAATACATTTACTAACAAACAAACACACACAGGCTCAGGCAACTACATTATTGCTCACCTTTCTTAGTTATCAATAATAATAATAATAATAATAATAATAATAATAATAATAATAATAAAACCAGTACTTCTAATACAAATACTAATTGCATACTTCGACGAGTACTTGGCTGAACACCAGCGATTAAACCTACGGGACCTGGTGAATGAACCAGCAATAAATGAAGAAATGCTGAGAAAATAATAATAATAATAATAATAATAATAATAATAATAATAATAATAATAAT